ACACCCTCTGCTCCAACCTTCTGCTCTTTCTCAAGACCACTCACCAGAGTACCTGGCAGAGACATGAACCCTTCCTCCTCTGTTGAAGACCCTGACGCAGGAAGTGAGCAGAGCTCAAGGTATCCCCAAGCCAAGGGGTAGCAGTTGCTGGTAACATTCAGAGCAGGTACCACTGATGTGGGAATGTGGCCAGGCCTCCCCAGCTGCTGAACCCTAGGACCTTCCAGCGGAGGAGTGGGAAGGGGTGCCAGGCCAGTGGACAGCAGCTGGGTTGAGATGCAGGTTCTCTGGACAGAGCCCGGAACATAGAGGAGGCAGGTTAACAGCGGCTCCCAGGGCTGGAGGAGTGATCACAGCTCTGGGGAAATGGAGAGGAAGTGGGTATGTGGTGGGGTCCGAGGATGATCAATCAGCAGCCTGGCCTCCTCTGGGAAGGCTGCATAGTCTGCCCCAGCTCTGTGGCCCATCCCTGGGAGCCACAGACCAGGACACAGGAGAGGTCTGGAGAGGAAGGGGAAACACCAGGGGTCACATCCACACTAGGTTGGTGTGAACTGTACTCTGTTCCAATTTTCCAGATCTGCTCATTGCTTGGGTAAATGGGAACTGGGTTTTACTGGTTCTTGGAATCAGCAGAAGCCCAGCATATGCTCAACAGTTTGGGTAGGTTGGGTTTAGTCTGGGGTGGGCAAGCAGACAAGCTCCACTCTCCTTCTGTTAGGGGTTCCTTGGACTAAGGTATGCGTGCAAGGGAGGCTCTGTCTCGGGTTTGCTAACAGAGGGCCCAGCATTTCCACCATCCCCTTATGGTCTGACTGTAGACAGTGAATATACTGCTTCCCTGGGAGAGACAGGGTCCTAGGCCCACCCCTAACTGCTATGTGAGCTCAGGCCAGGCACTTAACATTTCAGAGCCTCAGGGGATTACGCACAAGATGCTAAGTAGCCTCCCCCATCTCAGATCTAGTACTTCTGTCACCACTAACCAGGGCTCACACCAAAAGCATGATCAGCTGTAAGGACAGTCTTACCTATCTTACAGAGAGGGAAGTACCCTGCCCAGTGTCTCTCAGCCAGAAACAGACTCTGAGGCTGGTCAGCTGGGAGCACCCAGCACTCTAAGAAGCAGCACACCCAGGGTAGGGGGTGGGTGGCACTGGGCATCCTCCGTTCTGCTCCATCTGCATGGAGCCTCTTTGCCAGGAGGGAACATGCCAGACAGACACTTTTCAGCTTATAAACAGTCATTAAGAAGCTAATAAACCTGATTTCCCAGGAACTCTACCCTGGGGCTCCCCGCTTGCCCTGAAAGAAGCTGGCCTCAGCCTCAGTGGCTTCCAGGCCCATCAGGGCTGTGCCCATGCCAGGCAGGCCTACAAACTCATCTGTCTACCATCTCCCCTTCCACCTCACTTCGGGGTTCTCTGATTGAGTAAGAAGGAGGGCTGGGGGCCAGAAACAGGGCCGAAACCTGGCTGGGCACTGGATTACTGTGGGCACACTGCCACTGCTGAGCCTGTTTCCTTGGCTTGGAGACGGGCGGTGCCCTGCCATACAGCCAGCCAGCATAGATGACAGTGAAGATTCTGAACTTACAGAGCTTGGCATTCAACCAGCAGTAGGTTGCTGGCAGTTTCATCCTAGCAGAGCTCCGCGACCATCACTCACATGGCCCCTAGAGCCTCAGGCGTAATTTGACAGGTAGGGAAACTGAGGCTCAAAGAGGTTGAGTAACTGTTCTGAGGTACCACAGTCAGGCAGGGGATGAGGCTGCACCCCCAGGCAGGGTCTTGTGCTCTGAACCTCCATTTCTGCAGCCCCTGAAAGCAGGGGATCAGGGGGCACAAAGAAGCACACACAAAGGGCCAGCTCCAAGAAGCCCCTCCCACCCCCAGGCTGAAGTGACAGCTCCCAAGGCTTGGACAGCACTTCTCAGTTTAGCAAAGGGCTTTTGCAAACATTATCTCATCTAATTGAGGTAAGCAGCAGTAGGAAGCTGTCATTAAGCTCCCTCCCTGGCTGCTGATAAGGTCCTCAACCCCAGCCAGGTCCACCCTATCCTGCTCTTTTGGGTATTCTAATGGCTGCAGGAAACCAGGATGTAGGGAGACTGATATGAGTGGGAAAAGGCACCCTAAGCAAAATATTGAGGGCAAGAAGGCCAGCTGATACCACCTGCGACACTGTGGCACAGGTGCAGGAGCCACACGTGAGAAGCAGAGAAGAAGAATAAAGCCCTGGATCCTTGGCCAGAGAAAGCCCAGTCCGAGAGGCGTCACCTCTGGGATCCCCAGCACCGTGAAGGATACACAGCTGGGCAGGAAGGGTCACCCTGGGAGTGGGCAGCAGTCCAGGCCCAGATGGAAACCCATCCTCACTTCCTGGGCCTCCAGCCCTGACACAGCTATAGACAGTAATACCAGTGCTGCACCTCTGGATGCATGCTCTTACCTGGCCCAACCACCCACAAAGTAGGGCCTTTGCCATGACCTGAGTGTGCCATGCTCCTAAGTCTATGACCACAGTGGCTCCACTCATGTTGTCCCCATAAGAGCCACACACTAGCCAATTCCCCCTGGAATCATCGCCTCACAAATGCTCCCACTGCTTAGGTGTGGAAACTGAGGCACAGACTATTATTTAAGTGACTCACGCCCTCCCGGGCATGCTCTCATAGACCACTATGCCTTGCTGGGCCCTGAACCTCAGTTTTGAGGTTGGAATTACCTACTCCCCCATCCCGTCACCATGCTCACCCCTGACGGTATATAAGCAGCTCTGTACCTTCCAGAAGATAAGAAGGAAATAGGAGCTTCCCTGGGACACTCTACTTCTCAGGGAGACGAAGGTCGCTTGAGGGACAGTCCCAGGAAAGTCCTTGTCAACATCCTGGCACATACCAGCTTCTCCTGTAAGGACGCCTATGTCCTGAGAGCCGCCTGGGCCTGGCAGCTTCCCCTTCCCAGCTGCTGTGCTACTGGTCAGCTAGACCTCAGAAGCCGCTGGCACCTGCCACTCCTCCCCTAGCCTGGCTCAACTGGAGAGGAAGTCAGGAGCCACTTCTGACAACCTGCAGGTGTGTGAGCTCACTCTGGAAACTCCCCTGGGCTGCAGGGCAACACCTCGGTCTGCTCCAAAGTCTGTGACACAGAGATCCCAGGAGATGTGCAGGTAGGAGGTCACCAGCAAAAACACACATCTCCCTTATGATGTATCAGAGACAGGCGGGGATGGGCACCTCATCCCAGTCCCTGGAACACACTTTACCTCCTTCTCTAAGCCAGTGTCTACCTGGGGCAAGGTTCACCACAGTAGGACAAGGATCCCAGTGGAGGCCACAGCAATGTCCAGAGCTCAGGCTATAGAAAAATAACAGCACCATTGCCCCCAGACCCTGCAGTGGCCCTCAGTGCACATGGGGGCATGACTCAGTCCTTCTTTTACAGAACACAAGTCTCCTTCCTGGATACTGGGTGAGCGTGGGTGGAGGGCACTCCAGGAGTAGCAGTGGCTCGGGGATGAGCCAACTGTGTAGGAGTCGGCTCTGAGTGACCCTGGGGGTAAACAGCTCCATATAAGCCTGGATGCTCAGTCTTGGTCCTCGAGTGACACACACATAAGGGGCCACCATGACTGTTTTCTGTCCAAAGGGAACACGGGCATTTCACTCCAGTCTGTTACGGTAAAAAGACCAAAAGCCAAAACCCAACCCGCCTGCTCTCTTGCTCTGCCAGTTTCCGGGGCAGGGAGTGAGGTACAAGCTCCTGGTACAATTACTTTCCTGGCATAAGTAACTGGAGGAGTTCAGTATGAGCTCAGAAGGGAAAATCCCAGCAGGTCACAAGGCATCACACACGCACATCAGCCTTAGCAGTCCAGCTCTGGGAAAATCTGTGGGTCCAATGTTCGCCCCGTCACCTCCCATTCTCAGGGATATTTAAGTTCACAGACTGCCCTGGCTCACCCTGCATGGGAGGCTGTCCTGGGGTGAGGACCCTATTCCCAGCTTCTCCTCCATAGCACCCAGATCTGCTTCCTGCAGAGGCTGTGAGCAGAGGAGAGGTAGGCTCTGAAGTACCCCGATTGCCAGGGGAATAACTGCGTGCCCACCGCCTTAGGCATTCCAAGCTGCTCCCCTCACCAGTGAGGAAACTGAGGTAGGAAAGGAAATCAATGAGTACCTCGCAGACCAGGTGCTTGGGGGCTTTAGGGGGCGTTCCCCAATCTCGGCTCAGCACTATCATTTTGGTTTAAACAGTTCTGTTTAAAGTCCAGTACCGCCCCTGGGCTTGACCTTCAAAAGTTCAATAGCAACAAAACTTACCTCCCCTCCTAAATCTGGGACAACCAGAAAGTCTCTAGTCATTGCCAAATATTCTCTGACAGGCAAAAGTCCCTTACCATCGATCCCTCAATAGCCAGGAGTGGTGACACATGCCATAATCTCAGCACTCTTGAAGGCTGAAGCAGGTAAATTTGAGCCCAACCTAGTGACTTTGTGAGACTTTATCTCAAAATAAAAATAAAAATAAAAATTTCGAACGGGGGGGGGGGCGCCCACTGGGGATGTAGCTAAGTGTAAAGGCCCTGAATTTAATCCTCAGTATTTTTTTTTAAGTGCCAATTCCCAGTTGAGAACTAGAGCTCTAAAACAAACTTCACTTTCCCCTCCCGGCCTTAGAGTGACAACAGCGCAACACACGTTGGGCTCATCATTCCACTAGGAAATGTCATACGAAGTGGGGTTCTAGGTCTATCCTTGCAAGGGCGATTTTTTAGGAACACTTCCTCTCTCATAGCCCAACCCTACAGCCCTCTCCTGGAGGCTTTCACTGAGCTGGGAAGACCCGAGAGCTGGGTTCCCTTTCTGTCCCTTGGGGTAGGTCACCTCTCCATAACCTCAAGCCCGATGCCCCAGTGTGGCGCGCGGCAAGCCGAGGGGCTCGTGGATCCCACGCAGCGCTCCGCGCAGCCCAGCGGCGTGCGCCCCCCGCCCGCACCTGTTCCACCTCGGCGGGGCTCCGCGCCCACACTTCGGCCTCGCCGCCGGTGCTCACCCAGGAGAAGCCGAAGGCGGGGAGCTCTAAACTGCCGGCAGCTCTGGGGCGAGGGTGGAGCTGCGCACTCCGCTCCGGACTGTCCCCTCTCTTCCTTCCGGGCTTTCAACCGACGTGCCCGGCGCGGTGACTTGGCCCAGCCCCCGCGCCTGAGCTGAGCCCGGGTCTGGCAGCCCAGGTCGTGGACTTGGGGCGCACAGTCTGGTCCCGGCCCGGGCGGGCCCACGTGGGCCCCGGGCGTTCCGCAGGGCGGGCGCCTCCCTCCCCCGCCGCGCAGCCGCGCACGGCAGCCCAGGGCAGTCCGGACGCCACCCCGCGGGCCCGCCGCCCCGCGCTCACCTCCCCAAGGGCCCCGATCCCGAGACTCGCTCGGCGGCGACCGCCAGCTGCCGGGCGGTGGCTCCGCGGGGGCGTGGCGTGGCGCTGGCGCTCCGCCTCCTCACTACCTGCGCGCCGGCGGCTGGGGGCGGAGCCGAGGGGCGGGGACGGGGGCGGAGCCGAGGGGCGGGGACTGGGGCGGGGCTCCGCTTGCAGCAGGCCTGCCCTCTGCCCCTGGCCCCTGGCTGCCCTCTGCCCCTGGCCCCGCCGCTGGGCTTTGCCCCGGCGCAGTCCTGCTCCCAACCACCGGAGCTCTTCCTCCTGGGACCAAGCGCATACCCTAGGTCTGAACTGCCATCGCCATATCACACCGCTTCCTAAAGCCTCCCAGGCTCCCCTCCCGCTCCTCTAGCGCCCGGTTCTCGGGCCAAGTCAGCTGTTTCCTCTCTCTAACCCAGCCCAGGTGTTCCCTCTAACCCAGCCAAGGTTATCTCAGCTTTAAGGGCCCTCTGTGAGGCACAGGTAATGAGTGGACCAACGGTCTCCTTTAATGTATAACTATTGGTGTAATACAGGTGCGCCTGGGAGATAACCTGAATGTAAGCTGACCTAAAGAAAGCCAGTCTGGGAGGTGACTTACAATCACTGTGTTACCAGAGTGGGCTGCTCTGGGTCCCGTTCGAAGAATTGTTTCCAGGCTCTTGTCCCGTTCAAAGAATTGGACAAGACAATCTAAGAACGCAGAGATTTAACACGTATTGGAAGTGACAGTAGGAAGAAAAGAAGAGAGAATAGCTTAGAAGAAAAAGAAGTCTTCTTGGCCTGGAGTGCTGCAACTGGGAGGCTGACGTCAAGGCAAGCCTGTAACTGCATGATGAAACCTTGTCTCAAAGAAAATAAAATATAAGGGCAAGGGATATAGCTCAGCAGCACAGTGCCTGCCTGGCAGGTGCAAGGTCCTGTGTTCGATTCCCGATACCCCACCTCCCCCCCAAAAAAGAAATCCTCTGAAGAGTGGGAGTAGTAAAAGAAAATATACCCTGAATGCAGAACTGATCACTGCAAGAGAAGGAAGTGACCATAAGCCAGGCCAATGACTGTTGTCCTTTTATACACCCATTCTGCTGTCAGATTCGGGAGGACCAGATCCAGAGCTTTGAAACCATACTGCAGCTGAGTTCTGGCTGTGACTGACACTTCTCCATGACTGACAGGTCAAGCCCCACTGCCTGTCAATTTGCCACTCACTAATCTCCTGCCTCAAACCCATACCCTTCTCCCCTTCTCATACCCGTAGATAAACCCCAGCCGTGCACCCTAATGGTGGGGTCCTCTCTTGGATTCGACCATATTCCTAGCCCTTTTATAATTTTTATTTTTTTAAATATCCAGTAATTTGAGCCAATTTGTACTTTTCTGTGGTCTATACAAGTAATCTCTACCCTTTTTATTTTTTGGAGGCACATTTAATCTTTGGAACACACAGTATAAGTCTGAAGAGAGCTCCATTTATTTCCAGGTTTGCCGACTGTGTGACTAGGCACATGGGAACAGGAGACGTCCTTTCCATTATACTGCAGTGCTGGTCACATGTCTTGAGAAAGAGCTGATTAAGTGAGATGACCGCAGCACAATGGGCAGACCTCAGGACTGCCTGTTTAGAATCTAAGTAAAGTGATTAATGAAAAATTAATAAAAAGTTTACTTGAAGTGCACTTTTACATGCTTTTTCTTTATAATAAACAACAAACTTCCTAACTGTTGCAGCAGGTTTGACTATCATATTTGGCCAAATGTACTTTCCCCCAGCAAATTCAAAACAACCATAAGAACACACAAAATCCTCGTACTTTCATATCTCAAGAAGGAACAGGCCAGCTGGAGGCTAGCCTGAACGGCATAGCAAGGCCCTGTCTCAAAAGGACAGAAAAAAGAAAAGGAACAGGCCAGTTCAGGTATGATGGCACGTGCCTGTAATCTCAGCATTTGGGGGACTGAGGCAGAGGGCTGAGGCCAGCGTGGGCTACGTAGTGAGGTCAAATCCAGCCTGAATTATATAGTGAGACACTGCCTCAAAAAAAAAAAAAAAAATACAGACAGAAAGAAAAGAAAATGAAAAAGAAAAAGAAAAAAAGGGATTGGCTGTTGAGGACCAGGCTATTTGATAGGTTATTGAGGGCTGGAGATTGGGGATATAGCTCAGCGGAACAAGCAACTGACTGAAAAAGTGCAAGGTCATGTGTTTGATTCCTCTTAGCAAAAAATAAAAATTCAAAGAGATTATGGGGGACCTGACTGTGATTTAAGCCCTCCCACAGTCCCAAGGTCAGGGTGACCTTACTTCAGGAATAGAGAGATATATGAAGGTCACGTGCCCTCTGCCTTGGGTGAAACGTTAATAACCCGGTAATTCGGAGGCAAGATAACATCTATTGAGAACAGTTGTCAAATACAACCACTTGGGTTTAGAGAAAATCTGCTTCCTCATTACCTTAATCCTTATCCGCCCATATTCTAGTTACCATTCCATAAGCCAAGTGCTATCCCTCCCCCTTCTTGCTAGCCGATGAAAGCCAGCCAGCCCTCTAGAGGCAGCTCCTCAGAGTTCCCCTTGTACTCTGAAATCTGTCTCTTTGTCTCTCTTTTTCTTTATGCCCCATCTCACCCTTCACAGGTAACTGAGGGATCAGCCCTTGGTAACTGGCACCTGAACAGGGACGCTGAGACCTGGAGGGGAAGACTTGCCAGAGTGGGAAAGGAACAGGAAGAGACATCCGGGCACTCCAGGGGACAAACCCAGAAGCCAGCCAGCTGTTCAGGAAGGTAAAAGTATATAGGAATGCCAGGGAAGAGCTATTTTATCTGGGATAAGGGGGCAGAACTTGTTAGTAGAGGAGCAAGGATGTGTGCAGTTGCTGTGTGTACTGTAGAAACAGGCAGGGTCCAGGGCAGTACCGATTCTCTTTCAAAAATCCTGCAAGATTTTACCAAGTTCATAACCCATGGTTCTGGCAGGCAGGAAGCTTGGATGCAGAGAACTCAGAGTGGGCAAAAGTTTCAGCAGGGCCGGTGCCAGGGAAAACAGGTTGCCCCTGACACGCTTGCAACATGGAGTTTGGCCAAACATGCAAGGTTCCTACTGGAACCTTGTGCTGCAACCATTGCTACAACTGCGCCTGCTCCTCCTGGTCAGGGAAAAGGGAAAGATCAGGAAGAAAGAAGAGAGACGTTCTTGGCCTGCACTTCCAGAATTTTTAGAGACAGACACTGGGCAGCCAAGACAGAGGCATGATTGTTGTTGGGGAAGGAGGCAACAGAGAGGGTGGCCATGGAGATGGCCATGCGGGATTTGGACCAGGAGGAATGACATGGTAGCAGCAGGCCAGCAGCCAAGCCATGTCGTGGAGAATCAGCTTATCTGTCTTTGGTTCCCCAGCCACACCAGGCAAGGTGGCACGCGGCTGTAGTTCCAGCTACTTGGGAGGCTGAGGCGGGAGGATCGTTTGAGCACAGGGACCCTTTCCACTGGGGCTCTTAGAGTCCATTCTGGGAGCTCTACATAGGGTCCCACAGGATATTAAACATCTTGCTTGTTTCTATCAGTAGGTCAGTGTCTCCATCCTCATGTGCAGTTATAAGAGCTGGCCACAGAGCTGGCCGCAGAAATAGGGCAGGTGGAAGGTCAGGTATTAAGGAAAATGTGCTGCTAGGAACAGGATCTTGTGCAGATACTATGTGGTAATTGACTTGTCCTAATAAAACATACGAATGTATAAATTTGATGATGAAACAGGCATGGGCACTGCAACTCAGTCCTTTTACAGGGCTCATCAGATCCTTCTGCAGTTCCTTGTCATATTATAGGAGGCAGTCCACGGACAGACCCCTCATTCACTACCACTGAGATTGTAATGTTATGGTTGGCCTTTGGGAGTGCAAATAAGGACCGCAAATAGGCCCTGGAGGGCCACAAAGAATCTGGGAAATTATTTAAAATTCTGTCAAGATACAGGAACTGAATCTTTGAAAAGTCCAGTGCTGGCCTGAACTATGTTAAGTTTCACAGAGGGGATGCACGTGGGAAGAAGAAGAAGGTCTGGGTAGGTGACAGAAGATGTAGAGACAGCCGAGCTGGATTATATAACAAAATGTAAGGCAAACCAGATGTTTATATGCAGTATGTGTCGGTAACGTGTCAATTTTGCCTTGGATATTAAAAATTAAAATGGATTAAGGAGAAAATAGAAAAGTGGAAGAAGAGAAAGAGATTAGAAGTAAGGTTAGATTACAAAGGGGATCACACCAAATTGGGGAAATCGGTGGAGAAGGCTGAAGGAGAAGAGAGATGAAAGAAAGAACAAAACAGAATCCACAAAGAGGTTAGGGACCACTGTCACACTCATAAAAAAATGAAAAGAAAGAAGAAACACAAATAGTTCCCTTCCACAATTCTCTGTTTCACTAATAGACAGCCTGCGGTGACAAAGGCGATCCCCAGCACGCCAGCTGTGCCGTCTAGGACAAACCCACAGCCAACGTCATACTAACTGGACAAAACCAGAAAGTTTTCACTCTAAAACCAGGAACAAGACAAGGATGTCCACTGTCTCTACTCTTATTCAATATAGTCCTAGGAACTTCAGGCAGAGCAATTAGACAACAGAAAGAAATAAAAGGAATAAAGATAGGAAAGAAAGAAGTTAAACTATCATTACTTGCAGATGACATGATATTCTACTTAGAAGACCCCAAAAACTCCACCAAAAGACTTCTAGATTTAATAAGCAAATTCAGTAACGTAGCTGGTTACAAAGTCAACACTAAAAAATCGGTAGCCTTCCTGTACACGAATAACAAACTCACTGAGAGAGAAACCAGGGAAACAATACCTTTTATAATAGCAGCCAAAAAAAATGAAATACCGAGCAATCAATCTAACAAAGCAGGTAAAAGACCTTACACTGGAAACGACAGTCCTCTGAAAAAGGAGATTGAAGCGGATACTAGAAAATGGAGAGATATCCCACGCTCTTGGGTAGGAACAACCAATAAACTGAAATGGCCATACTTCCAAGACTGTTATACAGATTCAGTGCAATCCCAATCAAAATTCCAATAGCATATCTCACAGAATTAGAGAAAACAATCCTAAAATTCATCTGGAGCCAGAAGAGACCTAGAATAGCAAAGGCAACCCTGGGCAAATAAAGACAACACAGGGGGCATCACAATTCCTGACTTGGAATTATACTATCAAGCTCCTGTGATTAAAAAAAAAACAAAACCAGACCCAAAGTTCAGTGGAACAGATTAGAAGATGCAGAAACAACGGCAGACACACTAAATTAGCTTATCTCTGACAAATATGCCAAACACATTCACTGGAAGGAAGATGGCCTCTTTCATGAATAGTGCTAGAACTGGCTCTACACATGCTCGAGATTAAAACTTTCACCAAATAATAAGCTAAAATCAAAATAGATAAAAGATCTTATTATTAAAATAAACATTAAATGTACTAGATTGGTAGAGTAGATAAAACTCTTTAAGATATTGGTGTAGGTATGGGGTTTTTGTTTTGTTTTGTTTTTTTAAATCGGTACCAGGGATCAAACTCACGACCACACACTTGCAAGGCAGGCGCTTATGCTGCTGAGCTAAATCCCCAGCCCCTGACACTGGTGTAGGTTAAGACTTTAGGAACAAAACCCAGACTGCACAAGAACTATCACAAAGAATCAACAACTGGGATCTCACCCAAATAAAAAGCTTTTGCACAGCAAGAGAAACCATCAACACAGTGAAGAGATAAGCCACGATGTGGGAGAAAATGTTTGCCAGCTGTACCTCAGATGAAGGATTTTTATCAAGAACATATAGAGAACTCAAAAACATTGGTCCTCTCGGATTTAAAGACCCAATAAAAAAATGAGCAGCTGGTGGGGGGGCTGGGGATTTAGCTCAGCGGCATAAGCACCTGAGTTCAATCCCCGATAAAAAGAGAAAAAAATTTTAAAAAATGAGCAGCTGAGATGAATACATACTTCTCAGATGAAGAAATATAAACAGCAAATAAATATGTGAAAAAATGTTCAACATCACTGACCACTCATGAGATGCAAATTAAAACAAGACTGAAATTCCACCTCATCCCAGAAAGAATGGCTATTACCAGGAAATCAAGCAAATGCTGGAGGGGCTGTGGGGAAAAAGGAACCTTCTCCACAGTTGGTGGGGATGCAGACTGGTGCAAAGATTGTGGAAATCAGTGTGGAGATTCCTCAAAAAAAACCAGGACTAGAGGTCCCATTCAACCCAGTTATTCCCCTTCTGGATATCTTCCCAAAAGAATTAAAAATGTCATACCACACTGATATATGTGTACCAATGTTTATAGCAGTTCAGTTGATAATAGCCAGATCTTGGAAACAACCTAAATGCCCATTGACTGAGGAAGGTAAAAAAGATGTGGTATTTTTATACAATGGAGTACTACTCAGCCATAAAAAAGGATAAACTAGAGACTTTTATAGGTAAATGGATGCAATTTTCGACTATACTCATTGGTGAAATAAAACACATGCGTATAAACATATTTTGTTTCATTAGTGTGAGAAGCTAAAAGAAAAAAGCATATGTATATATGTACATATACATATGTATATGTGTATGTGTATATATACATATATATATATATATATAAATAGCTAAGATAGTTATACTAGTGATTTCTCTGAGTTTGCTGAAGAGAAAGCTTTGTGCTGGTGCTGGACAATTGAACGCAGATGTCTTGAGCTCTGGGTGAATGACTTGAGGATGACAATGTGCAATGTGTATACCATTGTTGCTCCCTGATTGAAGTGTTTTGAAGTTTTCTTCTTCTTTTTTTCTTTCTTTTTATTCTTGAAATAAAATGGATTTGGAAAATAAAGGTTAACAATTTAGGTGAGAGCTTCTTTATGTACTACATAGAGACGATTGACTAAAAAGGCTACTTTATACTGAGATGGCTATTTTATACTGAGATGGGTGTTACAGAAATAATGTCATCATGCTAAAACATGAAATGTATTTCTTGATCTTAAGTTTTCTCTTTGAACTATGTAACTCTTATCTGTTAACATCCTACAGGGATACAACTACTAAAATAGCTATGGTTGACAAGAAATAACAGTTCTCTGGGTCTACTTTATAATTCAAAGCGCTTGATATAGAGATGTAATTATAGTAGTTGAACTCACTGCCCTCTCTGAAACACTGTTTCTCAGGTTGCAAAGGATGATTCGCAATTGTACTGACACCTTGTATACTAGACATATTGGATCCTATTCTAAATATTGGAATCTTTAACTGACGGTAATCAACAGGCTGATTCATTGGTGGCTTAAATTTGGCAAATGGACGTTCCTGATGTCCAGGCATTTGGGTGGTTGCAATGTGTCCTGATATGTAGAGATATTTACTCCGGTATGATCCATGCCCCCTGCCTTAGAGGGGAAAAGGGAAGACATGTGTGACAGCATTGTCTGTCTGTTTTGTTGCAATAGGAGTCCCACTTACCGTCAAAACAGCTGAAAGACTCTCACATGTGAGTAAAGCTGTATTCTTCTTTTTTAAACTCTGGAACATTAAACATGTCGCAGACATTTCCTATAACCCTCAAGGCTGCGCAGTAGTAGCACATGTACATCTCCCTTTAAAACACATTCACGAAAGTAAAAGAGAAGTGTACAGCTACCTGCATGAGGGCATTAGATCTTGCTCGTTCACTTTAAATGCTTTGAATCCCCTTGCAGAGAGCAAAAGTACTTCGTCAGATCTCCATGGGCAGAAGTGCGATGCTGTGGAGAAGCCACAGGCACCAGTTTTAGGGCAAGATGTCCCACCAGGGGAGTCGGGTGGCCCAGTGTAACTAGTAACTTGGGGACACAATATGCTTGTGTATTAACAGGTAAGGGAAGGCCGCTGTGGGCGCCACCTCAGAATGTGTGGCATGGAGAGAGATCTCCAAACCCGTGGTAGAGGAAGCTGCCACTAGGCCAACCAGTGCAAACTTTTGCAAGGATGACCCTGGAGTAGAAACATCAGCTGCTAATGACTACATAAGTAACAAAACCCAGGATGGGGAGTCAAGTGAAAAAGAAGACTCAGGAAGCCAAAAAGATGGTGGTGAGCCAGGTCCTGCCATGTACCCCAGAAAATATGTTTAATGCCATGATGGACACCATTGCCTGCACGTCTGCGGCAAGGAAAACCAAACTAGATGACACCTAGATGCGTAAAACCTCAAGTCACACACAGTGTTTTGGCTGCTGCAGTTACAAAAACAAAAAGGAGGACCAGGCTATGTGATAGATTATAGAAGACTTGACTGTGTGTCCTGAGGTCAGTGGGATTTTGCTTCAGGACACAGAAGTATAAAGAAGGCCAATAAGCCAGCAATCCTAAGGCAAAATAACATCTGTGGACAGTTATCAAAATATAGGCATTTGGGTTTAGAGAAAATCTGGCTCCTCATTAACTTAATCCTTATCCACCCATGACCTAAAATTACTGTTCCATGAAACAAGTGCTAGCCCATCCTCGTGCTTCTTGCTAGCCAATAACAGCCAACCAGCTGCACAGATAACCAACCCAGTTCACCAGAGGCGAGCTCTTCCTGTCCCCATCGCACCCTAAAGTTTGTCTCTTTGTCTTTCTTTATTCTCCGTACTCACCCTACAGGTATCCAGGGTCTGATCAACCCTTGGTGATTGGTCCCTGAAACAATTCAACGCAACAAACATGCAAATGGCATATTCGAGAAGACAGTAGAACGATGAACAGCAGAGAAACAGCCTCTCTGAGATTCAGTGTCTAGATGCTGGAATATAGCAACATGAGGAGAGAAGAAAAAGGAAAGTGGGTTCCTGGTACCTAGCAAGAATCTGAAGCAAGACTGTAAGCTCAAGGGCTGGGCATGGTGGCACAAACTTGTAATCCCAGCAACAGGAAGGCTGAAGCAGGAGTTTGAGGCAAGCCTGGGCTACAAAATGAGTTCAAGGCCAGCCTGAACTGCGTAGAGACCTTTTACAAAGAGACAAAACAACCGTAAGAATTTGTGCCCATGGGAAGAGCAAAGAGAGAGACCTCAAGGGAAAAGAAGGAGGGGCAAGTGGCATTTATCCCTGAGCTCTGACTTGCTGCATGGGAGGCGATGCACAGGAACTACTGGCAACCCCAGAGGCCTCCATGGAGAAATGCACCAGTGGGACAGAACATTGAACACAGCACTCTTCAGTGGCTGGTGAGTTATTCAGATTCAGACATCTCTCAGGAGAAGGTGACTAGCTGGTCACCATCTTGATTAGCTCAGAACTCAGAGAACCTATAGCCTGGCTCCATCTCCCAGCTACTAGTGTCAGGGCAAGGTAGAAGCAAGTTCAATTCAGCAAGAGGTCAGGGAGTCGAGTTCAAGCTAGCAAGAGGCACACAGAATACTGTAGACTGAACAAATTGGGTTCCAACCTCACAGCCAGAAACCAGCCTGAACTTCAGGGGAACTACAGGCGCAGGGTTGCTGGGACTATCCACCATCTTGCATAAATCTTTGACTGGCTTTCTGGGATTAATCAACATAAATCAGGGCTCTCTCTGTCTGCCCACTTTGTCTACAAGTGACAGCAGAGAAACGGAAGTGGACATTTTTTTCTTTTCTTGTCCTTTTTTTGATTGTTTCTCCTTGTTTTTATATAAATGTGATCCCTGTTTCTAGATTTTTTGTTGTGGTTGTTCTGTTCTGTTCTTGTTTTTTGTTTCTTCTTTCATTTTCCCCTTCTGTCTTCTTCATCCGTTTCCCAAAGTTCCCCTAATCCTCATTTGTTTTCCAGCCTGGCTTCTAATCTCTTCTACTTCTTCTGTTTTTCTATTTCCTTCCCTAAATACTGTAAGTTTTCTCCCCTGAGAGTAAACTTGCCACATTGAGATCATATTTACTGTATAGAATTTTCCAGTTTGTTTTAGATTTTTTTATGTAACTAAAAATATAGTTCATATAGGTAGAGATGGCAAATTCATAATTGCTGCAGCTTGTCATTTTCTAGGCAGTTTGATGCTATTATTATTACTGATTGTACTGATTTAACCAAGGTGACATAATTGTTCTAATCAGTTGTTCTTCCTTGTGTGCCAAGATTGAGACTGCAAAAAGGTCATAAACAATACGATAGGCCAGTGCCAAAGAACCAGGGCTTAGGCCACATAGGCACCAATTCCTCATCCTCACCGAACTGAAGAGGTAGGATCATCTGAGAGACTCAAAACCCCAAAGCCAGCTACACCTGGAAGACATCTCTGCGAAGTAATCATTTTCTAAGTGTTCTAAAAAGCTACCTTGCATGAAAAATTTAAAAGCATCAACCCAGGAATTCAGACAAACAAGGGAAATGGGAAGACCCAGAAGTGAAATACAACTCCAGTCTTCCAGCTTGCACAAGGCAAAACCAGGGGGAGATGAGGCGGCAAAATTCAAAAGCCCCCACCTGGACTCTCTGAAATGGTAACAAAGCAGGTGAAAGATGAATGAGGCTACAGAAAAAAATAAAATCAGAAATAATTTCTCAGATAACTACAGAGATGGTGATCATAACGGACATGGTTAGTGACTTGAGAGAAGATTCAGATAAAAAAAGTAGAAGAGTTTAAGAATATGATGAAAAGCATGAGCACCCAAATAGGAAAGAAATGGAACACATGATGCAGATTCAAAAAGATATAATTCAAAGAGATAATAATCATAAATATATATGCACCAAATACCAGAGTACCCAACTACATAAAATATATAAATGGACATGAAAAATCAAATAAGTGCTAGTACAATGGTAATGGGAGACCTCAATATCCCATGGTCATAATAGACAGATCAACTAGAAAAAAATTTAACAAAGAAAGCTGGGCATAGTGGCACCCTCTTGTAGTCCCAGCATTAGGGAGACTGACGCATGAGGAGGGTTACAAAGTGAGTGTAAGACTATCCTGAACTCTTGTCTTAAAAAGACCAAAAACAAAAAACAAAAAACAAAAAAAAAAGAAAAAACTTAATAATGAACCACAACTGAACCAAACTTTTGAACAAATGGACTTAGTAGATGTCTGCAGAGTGTTCTACCCCATGACATCAGAATACACATTCTTCTCAGTGGCACATGGGATGTTCTCCAAAGTAGACCACATACTAGCTCAGAGAACACACTTAAGTAAATGCAAAGGAATTGAAATCATTCCATGCATATTACCAGACCAATGGTGCTGTGAAGTTGGAAACCAATGGTGAAAGAAACCACAAGAACTTGATAAACACATGAAAATTAAACAACAGCTTCCCGAACAACCAATGAGTCACAGATAAAATTAAAGAAAGAATAAATTAGACAGTTTCTACATTAAATGATAATATCAATACAACACACTGGAATTTATGGGACTCAGTGAAAGTCCTAGGAGAGAAATTTATAGTGGTGAATTCCTATATCAGAAAAACAGAGTGAACTCAAATAAATATCTTAATGTTAAACCTTAAGCTATTAGAAAAATAAGAGCAAGTCAAACCCTATGAGGGAGAAAATTATAAAGATCAGAGCAGAAATTAATGCACTGGAGACTAAGAAAATGATAAAAGAAATCAATGAATAAAGGAGTTTGTTCTTTAGAAGGTTAAATAAAACCAACAAATCCTTATCCAACCTTATCAAAAAAAGAAAAGAGTAAAAATCCATGCAATTAGGAATGAAAAAGGTGAAACCACAATGGGTCCTGCAGAAATTCAGAAGAGCATCATTATCTACTTTAAGAACTTGTACTCTAGTAAGATGAAAAACACAGAAGAAATGGACAGATTGCTAGACACGTATAAATTACCAAAACTGAATCAAGAAGATACAAAAATTCTAAATAAACCAATGTCAGTTAATAAGATTGAAGATGTAATTAAAAACCTACCAATAAAGAAAAGCCCAGGTGCTGACAGATTCACTGCTGACTTCTACAGAAATTAATAGAAGACCTAATGTTACGACTTCTCAAACTTTTTAATGAAATATAAAGGGAAGCAAAACTCCCAAATTCATTCCTAGAGGCAAATATTACCCTGGTACCCAAACCACAGAAGGACCCAACCTAAAAAGAGAACTACACACCAATCTCCCTAGTGAATATAGATGCAAAAATCCTCACTAAGATACTGGCAAATATACAAATGCAGCAAATCATCAAGATTATACACCATGACCAAGTAGGATTCATCCTCAGAAATGGAAGGATGGTTCAACACATGTAAATCAATAAATGTAATATACCATAGTAACAACAAAACCATCTCAATAGGTGCAGAAAAAGGATTTTACAAAATTCAACACCCATTCATCATAAAAACTCTACAGAAAATTGGAAGAGATGGTCTTTAGCCCAATCTGACAAAAACCATCTATGACAAACCAACAACCACCATCACACTAAATGGTCAAAAACTGAAAGCATTTCTTCTAAAGATAGGACAAGGATGTCCACTATCACCACTGTTATTTGATATTATCTAGAGCAATTAAAAGAATAAAGATGGGAAAGGAAACAGTGAAATTATCATCGTTTGTGGATGACATGACACTTTACATAGAAGACTCCAAACACTCCACCAGAAAACTATGTTGAATAAATTCAGCAATGCAGCTGAATACAAAGTCAATACTCAGGAACCAATAGCCTTCTTGTCCAGAAGTAACAAACTCACTGAGACAGACATTATGGAAACAATACCTTTCACAATAAATCCAAAAACTTCAATCCAAAATTCAAAAAATCCAAAAAAATACTTAGGAATCAATCTAACAAAGGAAATAAAAGACTTTTACATTGAAAATACAGTACAGTACTCTGAAAAAAGAGACAGAAATGTATGTTAAAAAATGGAAAAATATCCCTTATTCTTGGGTAATAACCAATATAGTGAAAATGGTCATACTTTCAACATTGTTACTCAGATGTGATACAATCCTGATCAAAATACCAATAACATATCTCACAGAATTAGACAAAACAATCCTAAAATTCATTTGGAATTAGAAGAGACAGAATAGTGAAAGCATTTCTGGGCAACAAAAGCAAGGCAGGAGGCATCTGAATCTCTGACTTGAACTTAGACTACAAAGCTACTGTGATAAAAACAGCATGGTACTGGAAAAAGGAGGGGAAACAGACTCAAGGATCAACGGAACAGATTAGGAGATGCAGGGTTGGGGATTTAGCTCAGGGGCACAAGTGCCTGCCTGGCAGGTACAAGGTCGTGAGTTTGATCCCCAGTACAAAAAAAAAAAAAAAGAAAAAAAAAATAGAAGATGCAGAAACAACGCCAAACACATTCAGCCATCTTACCTTTGACAAAGGAGCCAAACACCTGCACTGGAACAAATACACCCTCTTTAATAAATGGTGCTGGGGAAACTGGCTCTACACATGCTGAAGATTAAAACTAGACCTGTGCACTAAACTAAAATTGAAGTGAATCAAAGATGTAAAAATTAAAACAGAAACCTAAATCTGTTGGAAGATAGAATAGGTAGAACTCTTGAGATTGATGTAGGCAAAGACTTTATAAACAAAACCCCACCTCACAGGAATATCACAAACCACCCCTACTGGAACTCATTTTATTAAAAAGTTTTGCACAGCAAAAGAAAGGAAGTAAAGAGAAAATCCACAGCGTAGGGAAAAAATTTTTGCCAGCTGTTCCTCAGAGTATCATAAAGAACTCAAAAATATCAGACTCCTGAATTTAAAGACCCAATCCAAAAATGGGCATCTAAAATGAAGAAATAAAAATGGCAAATAAATATATGAAAAACTGTTCAACATCACTGGTCATTTGAGAGATGCAAATTAAAACTGAAATTCCATCTCTAGAAATAATGGCTATTTTCAAGAAATTTCTCAATAACAAATGCTGGTGGGGCTATGGGGAAAAGGAACCTTTTCCCCTCTGGTGGGAGTGTAGACTGGTGCAACAACTGTGGAAATCAGTGTAAAAAGTCCTCGAAAAACTAGAACTAGAGGTTCTATTCAACCCAGGTATTCCTTTTCTTAGTATTTTCCTGAAAGAATTAAGAGCATCATAGCAGAGCAATATATGCACATTTATGTTTATAGTGGCACAGTTTGTAATAGACAAATCTTGGAAACAACCCAAGTACCCATCAACTGGTGAATGAAAATAGAAGGTGTGGGTCTTTTTTTTTTTTTTAACTTTTTTTTTTTTTTTTTGTACCGGGGATCGAACTCATGACTGCCTGCTTGCAAGGCAGGTGCTTATGCCGCTGAGCTAAATCCCCAGCCCCACCTGGGTCTTTTTTAAAAAAATACAATGGAGCACTACTCTGCCATAAAGAAAGACAAGCCAGAGTCATTTCTAGGAAAATGGATGCACCCTGAGACCATTCTCTTTTGTAAAATAAATCAGACACATGTTTAAATACTGTATTGCCATGAGCCAGCAGCAGCCATGTGGGTCAGGAGGAGAACCAATAAGCCAGTCTGCCCTTGCATGAGCCAGCAGCAGCCATGGGTGGGGAAAAAAACCAAGAAGCCCACCTGCCCTCCCTGCAGCCAGCCAGCACGTGGGCTGCGAGAAAAGAAGAGTGCCACCCCCACCCCACGCCTTGTAAGCAACCAGCTGGCTCAGAGGAACACAGACTGAAATGATAGCAACTGAAGTAAAATGCAGCTGAATGCTTGAATTATTTGGTTGACACTGCAGGCCTAAATTCAGTAGTCTGAGCGAGTCATTAGAGAATAACAATATGCAATAGAGCAATTATAGGAGACTTTCTTCTGTCTTATTTTAGAAATCCCATATTGTTCTCAATGTTTTGTCTTGTTGTTTTACTGTTTTGTTTTATTCCTTTTAAAATAAATAAAAATAGTCATGACTGCTGTAACTTTGTGATAAGTCGTGGGATTGGGGAGGATTGCAGCTCTAATTTACACCTTCAGCAAAGTTGTTTAGACTGTTCTGAGTCTTTTGTGTTTCTATAGAAATGTAAGAATCGAAATGTTTATGAAAAATGATGTTGGCATTTTGATAAGGGATTGGGTTTTCTGATCTTTATTATTTTCTTCTATTTGTTTTGGGTTTTATTCTGTCTTTTATTTGTAACTTCTTAAGGAAAGATATGAGGATATTTCCTAACTTTTTTCTTTTCTAATAAATGTACTTGATATTAAAAAATTTTGAAAAATTAGAGCCAGCTTAGATTCCAGCAGTGGTGTGGTGTGGGGAGTCCTAAGCAGGGGGAGATATACCCTGCGACCCAGGAACGAACTAAGCTGAGAGAAACCAACTGGAAATGCAATTCCAGTGCTACGACTGGAACAGCTAAAGTCTCAGTGCTGAAGCTGAAACCCGTGCCTCTGGAAACCGCGGCTTGAATTTCCTGCCACCTCTGCTGCATCTGAATTGGCATAGCAGGGACATGAAAGTTCTGAGAGTGGGGAATTGGCAAACCAAATTGAGAGCAGAACTGGCAGCGAGCCCTGCATGGATCTGCAGTGAGTGAGAGGAATGGGGACCCTTCCATAGACTAGGATGCTCCAACAGAGGACATTCTGGGACCAGGCAAACTAGCTGGAACAGGACGCTGCAGTGACTTCACTCACATATTCCCCTCTCAAGCGGGATTGGTGGGGAGCACTTGGCCTGGGTGACGCCGCGGACTAACATCCAGTAGGCTAGCCCAAACCAGGTCCCTGTGCCTGGCAGTGCACCCTAATGCAGTGAAGCCTTTAGCAGGTTGATTGACCTAGAGGGGGGGCCCAGCATAGGCTGCCCAGGTCTGTGTTTCCCTAGTACACTACAGAGGGCAGGAACACGTAGTCAGTGCTATTCAAACAAACTGTAACCGACAAAGAAAGAAACTGGGCCTCCTATATACGCTTGTATGGAAGGAACAAAAAGTATGGGAAGAGAGAGCAACAAGAAAGGAACCTCAGTCCCCAATCCTGAGAACATTGATACAGGAAAGGTAAATGCAAAGGAGAATGAGGACAGAAAACATGCAATATCAGGCATGGCACCAATAGACATAAGGCGATATCTCTAGGATCTCATAAATGAGTTCAAAAGTGAAGTATTTAACCAAGTAAAGCAAGATATAAGTAGAATAGTTAAAGAAATGCTAAGCACCTCCCAAGAAAAAACAGATGGTAGAATGGAAGAACAAAAAAAAGGGGAGAATTGTTTGATGGAGAAAATAGAAAAAATGTAGAATACATGAAGCAGGTTCAAAGAAATTACCAGGAAACTAAAAATTGTATTGAAAGCTGGCATAACAGCTTGAAAGAAACTAAGGATAGATTATCTGAACTGGAGGACAGATTTGTAATGTGGGAGCATGAAAGGAAAAACTTCTTAAAAAATAACAAGGAAACAAGCAGTAACAATATAAACGCTAGAAGATGATAAGAAGATCTATAACTTAAGAATGTAAAGGAAGAAGCAGGGATACAAACAAATGAACTGCAAAGGCTATTCACAGAAATAATAAAGGAGAACTTCACTAATATGGGAAAAGGTAAAGATACTCAGATCTATAAGGCATACAACCCAAACAGAACTACACCCAGGCATATAATAATCAAAATTCCAGAAATCCAATATAAGAACAGAATATTAAAAGCCATCAGAGACAAGAAACAGATCACTTACAAGGGAACACCCATCAGAATTACAGCAGACTTCTTGGCACAAACCGTCAAATCACAAAGAACGTGGGGGGAAATAATTCAAGCTTTGAAAGATAATAACCTCCAGCCAAGATTGATATATCTTGCACAACTGTCTCTAGAAATTAATGGAGAAACAAGGTGCTTCCAGGATAAAGAGGAACTAGGGGAATTTGCAACCACCAGTTCAACTCTACAGAGAATACTGCAGGATATTCTAAAAAAGAAAAATACCAAGATTCCAGAAACAGTGGCAGAGCGGCCACAATGAAAGGAGCAGAAAGTGAAATGAAGAAGACACACTGACAACTAATGACAGAAAAAGAGCTCAACAGAAATGAGGCAGAGAAGGTTGGATGGTAGGAACAGCTATTTTGGAGAAAGCAAGACATCATAATAGCTAGTGCTGATTTAATATCATCTTGTTTTGAAGTCCCATCAAGCTTTTGCTCTTCTGTCTCCATTGGTCTTAACATGTTGTATATTATTGGATTTTATTATATGTGATAATATAAACAAAAACTTTTATAGATAAGGCGATCATACAGAAACCATTGTTTATTTTCTGTTAGTTGGTTCTAAATACCCTGTAATACTGTCATTCTCTTGAATGGTTTTACATTGTCCTGATATGTTTGATGCTACAGTATATGAAGTTGTACTCAAAGATTTCAAGGAAAGAGACACTATGGTAACTACTTTTATGTCAGGATATCTTGTGGTGAAACACTATTTTGCTTAAATGGTTATGTTCTGACCTGTGCTCTTTTGTTGTTATGTCCTCTTTTATCTCAATCTCCTTTTTTTATTATTTATTTTTTACTTTTATCTTTTTAAGGGAAAAAATTTAAAAATAGCAGGATATATTATTGTAACCCACTTTGATTTTATATTAACTTGATTTGAAGCCCTGTATTGCTCTCACCATCTTGTTTTGACTGATTTTCCTCTATGCTGTTTTGCTTGATAGTACCAAGTTTGAGAATATAGGCAACAACTGTGAAGACAGTAAGGTTCACTATGACGCCCATTCTGGTTTGACTATTATCTTCTTTTGAAGTCCTGTAATGTCTCCAATGTTTTGGTTTTATTCTTTACTGTTTTATTCAATTTTATTATAACTGATGATATAGGCAATTCTTTTTAAGATAGCAAGAGGCATTATGATAACCATTGTTGATCACCTTGTATTCTGTTTTTACATTATGTACTATGTCCATCCTTTTGATTTGACTGACTCTGTTTTGTTATGTCACATTAGGTTTTATTCTCTTCAAAAAAAAAAGTAATAAGAACTGTAGGAGAAATAAAACCCAAAATATGTAATTGTCATTGTAAAAAAGAGAGGAAAAGAAAGTGCTCTAAAGGATATAACTGCATGTGTATTTAAGCGTATAAGATAGGTAACCATATTACTGAGTTTTTGTTGGATCATTGAACAGAACTGTTTGCAGTCTCACTGTTTGAATGTCTACTTTATATGCTTTAATTTTGTAACTCGAACAACTATTTCTAAGATGACAATATATAATCTATTAACTAGTGATTTCCTACTGTTTATTTTTTTTGAAATTCTGTATAACTTGTACCCTTTTTCTGTTTTTTCTTTTTCTCCTTAAATAAAATTTAAAAAAAGAAAAAAGTAAAAAAGTTTTTTTTAATTAAAAATAAATCAAATACATTTTTAAAAATTAAAAAAATAAATACTGCTTTGTTTCTCCAGTTGAGAAACAGAAGTGTAAATAAGGTTCAAAATATATAATAGATATTGGGAAATAGGAAAAAAATGTTCAAATGGGAGGGGGAACAAGGGAGGGAGTAGGAGGAAAGAAAGGAAAGAAAAAGAAAAAAGGATAGAAGAAAAAATAGAAGCAAAGCTTTTGACAA